GTGTTTTGATGTATTATTACAACACTGTTACAATAACATTACAGTATCTATGCAGTTTTTTGTTTGATACATTACAATCTGCCTGTACTGTAAACACAGGCCACTGTGTAAAACTATAAATCCCATTTAAAGTATCACACTTGCTTGAATACAGTGTCTTACTGTAATTCTTTACAGTGCGGAAGTGTCAATCAACTTGACAGTCATTTAGAGTGATGAACTAATCCAGCACCACCGTCTCTCTCTACTTTAACGCCAGCTAAACGCCAAACAGCCTGATAAAGAACAAAGGGATCAGCCGCCTTCACTCCACCTCTCAAAGAGGCATTCGGGACCCCCCCCCCGTGTGATGTTTCCCCTCCCCTCCCCCCGACCCAGCCCACTCCCAACGTTCCTACAGCGCCGCTATGAAGCCTGTCATTAGCTCTGTTACTACACATAGACGCTACAGCGCGGTACATTATTCATCACCCCGGCGACACGGCTGGCTCGTTCCCTCGCGACATCTGAAACAGTCGTCTTTATCGGCGGCATCGACAGCAGACGGATCTCGCAACCTTGTCACACTGCCTTTCGTACAGGCAGCGAGCACAGCTTCATTTATAACAGGCCCTTTGTTTGCTTTATATTAATAATGAAATCTTGGAGCTGCATTGTTCAGCCAACAGTCTAACAGCCTTTGTGAGGAACTGTCTAATCTTGTTTCACTGCCATTGATTTCCACTGAATATCCAAGGCACTTTACCTCCAGATACTGGGCGAAAAGGCCCATTGAAGGCTGAGGAAAGCAGGGAGAAAAGAATGGAAGTTATTGAATGGTTGGCAGGGATTTGCCAGAGACAGCGCTCATAATTGAGCACTCTGGCTGTATTAAAGAAGGATTTAAAGTGGAGTACATGCCATCGATTATCTCTGCGCTCGCTCCAGTAAGAATTACAGCGTAAGGCCCAAATCAAACACGCACTTCTCGGGCTAACCCCGGGGTTGGGCCCCACGGTTTGACTCTGCTCAGAAAGTACACGACTCAATATCGTCACGGAGACCGCTCATGGATTTGATCAGCTTGATGATCTACCAGTATTGCTCTGTTGATCCCAGCATGGATCGTTTACTGAACTGGTTCAAAGTTCAAAACACATTTGGGACTTTTAACTTGTCTTGGACTTCAGACTAAAATCCTTTTGCTTAGAGTGACTCTAAACTTTAATTATGTTTATTTTATTAAAACATATGACTAAACATTCCAAATGTTTCGGTAGTGACGATTTTAGCTCATTTTGAGCAGAACTCAAAAACACAGCCAGTACATGACCAGCAAACACAGCTCTGAACAGCTGTTCACACAGAAAATCATCATATTTTTTGTTGAAACACAAAACTTGTGTTTCGGTAGTGACAATTATTAATGTTCCCACTGATTTTCAGACTTTGGGACACATTTACTTCAAAACAATGGGATCTAACTGCTCACCATGTGACCTTGTGGGACAGGGATGCAGTCTCACTTCCCGTCCTAAAATGCAGGGGCATGGCTAAAATAAGGCCCCGCCTACAGACTCTGTTTCGGTAGTGACAGCATTTTTTTTTTTTTTTTCAATTTTAACCCGATTTTCTCCCCAATTTAGTCGTCTTCAGTTCCACCCGCTAGTTAGGACTCCCCCAGTCACACACGATACTGTCAACGCTAGGAGGGTGAAAGCTAACACAGGCTTTCATCCGAGACCTGTGAGCTGCCGCTCACGCAACGTCACTGGACAGCCGAACGCGCTCGGAGGAAAGCACCAACCGCCAGATCTGTTACGTCAGCTAACAGGCGCCTGTGCTGAGTAGCATCGCGTTGAGTGATGGGGGGAGGGGGGCCATCCCACCCACCCAGAGAGCGAGGCCAATTGTGCTCTCTCTGACTCCCGGCTACAGACGGCTGTAGCATCACCAGGGATCGAACTCGCGATCTCCTGATGATAGGGCCAACGCTTAGACGGTTGTGCCACTCGGGAGCATGACAGCATTTTTCAATAAAGTTTTTCCACTTAAAAATTAATTTCCTGATATATCTAAAGCTTTAAACTTCACAAGAAATCAAAATATATTTCATTTTTTAATAATCTAAGAGTCTAAATTATCACCACAGAAAAAAAATAAGGCACTTTGATAAAGCTAAGCTAAATATAGCTAAAAATAATTCATACAGTAATAAATATGTAAGAGAAGCTCTTTTGATGCAGCTCTTAAGGCCGCAGCATCAATTAACTGGTTACCATTTTCAGCAGATGAGCTCTGTGTGAACAGGTTTCCATGTTATATTTACACAGTCAGCTGGCTAATGTATGTAACGCCGTGACAGGATGAGCTGCTGAATGTTAAGTCGTTTTTAACGTAGCTGCTGATATTGCTAACTAACAGAAACTGACACATCTCAGAATATTCCAGCGACTAACGTTGGTGATGCATCATGATGAGCCTTAGTGATGTTAGTAAGCGGAACGTTCGATTATTCTGATAAATCACTCACAGTGTGACTTAAGCAGGAGTTGTAGTTCGGTTTGTCTGAACAGCAAGAAGCGAAAGCTACCGTTTATGGACTGTAGCGAAGGTGGCGCTGTGCTTTCTCGATAATTTCTCAATTGCACCAGGCGCATCTGTAAAAAGCCTTGGTGTCACGATTAATCCCAGTCTGGCCTTCGATGAGCATATTACCAATATTACCAGAATAGCTTTCCTCCACCTGCGTAACATCGCTAAATTAAGAACTGCACTGTCGCTACAGGACGCAGAAACGTTAGTTCACGCCTTCATCACGTCCAGGTTAGATTACTGTAACGCTCTGCTTTCTGGTTGTTCCAGCCAAAACCTTAACAAGCTTCAGTTAGTCCAGAACGCTGCAGCCAGAGTTCTCAGCAAAACCAGGACATTTGACCACATTAGCCCAATTTTGTGTACCTTACATGGGTTGCCAGTTAAATTCCGCACTGAGTACTAAATTCTTCTACTGACATATAAAGCTCTGAACGGCCTTGATCCTCAGTACCTCAGTGACCTTATTTCCTATTATCAACCGACACGCCCACTTAGATCACACGGTGCTGCTCATTATTAGTACCCAGAATAAATAAAGTTACGTCAGGGGGAGGAGCCTTTTCATACAAAGCCCCCCAGCTTTGGAATAGCCCACCAGTCTGTGTTCGGGACTCAGACACAGCCTCAGTTTTTAAGTCTAGGCTAAAAACTTACCTGTTTAGTCGAGCCTTTGGTCAATTTGTTTTCCTAACTATGTCCCTCTTATCCCCCCATCCCCCCTCTTTCCCCCTCCCCCTCTCTTTCCCTGAGCTGAGCGGCTGCCTGCCCTAAGAGGGTCTGACGTGACTGATGCGGCCGGCGCTCTGCACAGTGGTGTTAAACTGTATCCACTTATACTGTTTTGTGTCTGTGCTGTTATCTGGTGTCGACCAGAGGAGGATGGGTTCCCCTTTTGAGTCTGGTTCCTCTCAAGGTTTCTTCCTCCTGTTGAGGGAGGTTTTCCTTGCCACTGTCACCAAGGCTTGCTCACTGGGGGACCCGGATTCTCTGTAAAGCTGCTTTGTGACAACATCTGTTGTAATAGGCGCTATATAAATAAATTAGGCTTGACTAAAATAAATAAATTTGACTTGACTTTTGTATAAAGCTCAGTCAGATATGCTGCATGTGTAACGTAGGAGGCGTTGAGGCAGGATGCAAGGGTGAGTTGCTTTTATTTAAACGAGATTCAGAGTCCAAAAACACAGGGGCAGAGGTTAGTGGAACAGATAAACCCATGAGAAGACAAAACATGGTAAAACAGAACTAAACCAGAAACAAAAGCTACAACCAGAGAAACAAAACCTACAATCCAAGACACAGGCAACAGCAAGGCGAGTAGACAAGGCAAGACGAAGGGACTGAGCAAACACAGGGGTATAAATACTAACAGAAAACGAGAAACACCTGAGACCAATGAGAGGGCGGAGCTAGGAGACAAAGGTGAAGACAGGGCAGGACAGGGGAGGAGCCAACATGACAACAAAAGCACGTCACAAGAAAACAAAGGCACATGGCAGATACAACAGTACAACAACACACAGCACTGGGAAACCAAGAAAAAGGCAAAAACAGAGAAAGACCAGACAGAGAACGAACGGATGTTACAGTATGTGATGACTTTACGCTGCATTTTAAGAAAATGGTCTTTTTACGAAAGTGCTTTTCTTCGATTTAAGAAATTTTGAATGCGTTGTGGTGATTACGTTGTGTAAAAAATCGAAAATTCTCAGAAAATAAAACATAAAGGACTCAAAAGAGAGCAATGCAATGTTGCAGGGTGCACACGTGCTTACTCCCTGATGGCAATGGTCAAAACTCGAACTGTACCTCAAGCCCTTCGAGCTTCGAGTACAGCTCGGCTTGACCCGCCATCCTTCAAGACGTGGAAGACAATCATCAAGACTCTTCTCTGTCCTGGAGTCCAGGTGGTGGAACGAACTCCCACTGGCTGTCCAAACTAGTCTCTCGCGGTCTTCAAACGCAGACTGAAGACCGCCTCTTTATAAAGCACTTAAATGACCACTGAGTTAAGTATTTATTGTATATTGTACTGCACTTATTGAAGTGTACTGTATTGTACTGCACTGTGTTTCTTTTCTCTGGGCATCAACATGGACTTTTGTTTCTAGCAGTATCTGAGCTCAGGACTGTCTTTCTCTCTAACCTACTAGATAGACAAAGCACTTTTTGTAAGTCGCTCTGGATAAGAGCGCCTGCTAAATGCTGTAAATGTACTCACAGCCATCTGTTCTAACCAGAGGCTTAACTCTGGGTGCTGTGCTTCGCAAGTTTTATTGGAGAAGTAAGAGATAAAGGTTAAAAACTTCCACAAAACCCATTAATACAACAGCAGAATCCATAAACTGAACACACTGAATCTACTGTGGTATGTAGCGTTGTGCGCAGGCATATTCAGGGAACGCTGTCAGAACGAAACTCACCGTGGTGTACTTGCCCAGCTGGCAGAGAGAGGGGAACGTCTCCTGGTGGGCTTTCCGGATCTTCTCGATGATGGCCTCCAGCTCGGCCGAGAGCTCGTAGCTCTCTGTCAGCTCTGGCTTCGGGCTCTCCTTCTTCTTCTTGTTCCTGTCGTTCCGCACGGCTGCAGGGCGAGAGAGGGAAGCGAGGGAAGTCATCAGTAGCTCGTCATCTACTCCTATGTACATGCCAAGATACTGGTTAGTACTGTAGAAGACAGTGTGGAGCACATCTACAATGGGTTCTACAGCGGGTAGAAGATCTATGCAAGTCTTCAGTTGTTTGATGAAGTGTGATTTTACAAGGCAGTTTTAACTGTTTGAAAGTTTTAAATTAAATGACTAAAATAAATGGATTAACACATTAACACAGCACAGGAGCTCAAACTGTATAAACCTTGGAACGAATTCCTCCAACAGAACCTCTAGAGTTCTTACTCGGTAACTGCCCAGCTCAAAATCTAATACCCAATATGTAAAAGTGTGCATTTCTTCTTGATTTGACCTCACAGTGTTTGTGTTTACATGCAAAGATTTTTGCCAATCTGATTGAACACATTCTGATTACAGATTCAGACTGAGGTGTTTATTCTCACTCTACTCAACAATCTGATGGAAAACCTCTGTTTACATTCACATTACAAGTAATCCGATCCAAACTTATCCACATGAGTAGAGAACCACTTTGTGTTGACGTTACCATGACAACCAGCATCACGTGAGTCCAGTCAGAGTGAGATGAGCAGCAGTGAGCAGTGCTTGTGTTTTTAACTGCTTTAAAATGATGTCAGACTCAGGAAAACGTCCTTCACATGTCCTTATTAAAGAAGGCCGAGAGGAAGACGTCGTGCTCTGAGACACATAAGCTGGACGTCCGTCCCACCGCCGTCTTTTAAAGATCGGAGCATAAACTTCGTCTCCTCTGCAGACCAGTTTCTGCTCCGCCATGTTGAACGGTATAAACTTTCACTATGACGCGACGAACATGATCAGAACGGACTTAAACTTTCCGATAGGGAATGTAATCAGATACAGGCGTTTACACGGATATTATGCTTCTATTTAATGGATTATTTACAGGATTACCCACCTCGATCAGTCGGATAGAAACTGTATTCCAAATGGCCTCAATCGGACTAGACTATTCCGATTGAGGTGTTTACATGGACGTATTCTCTTCTGATTGACCTATTAGTCGGATTATTAACGGATTATTAGGCTACAGGTAAACGTAGCTACTCGTATACAAATCATTTAAGAAGGAGGCAATTTCATGCAAAGTAGCTCTACCTCTTTGAACAGAACAGACTGCGATCTGACCAGTATTGTGATTGCGATTTATATGCAGTAATTTTCTCTAAATTAATTTCCAAACTTGTTTTTTGGAACATCCACACTGGAATATCCACTTTTTTGGCATCGTGAATGTTGAGCGCTGAGTAGCATCAGACTACCTCTTAATTGTGATGGATGTGATGTCATGGGTGTTTCGTTACTTCTGATTGGTCTAACTCATCTATAGGCGGTTCACAAGCTTCACGTTATCAGTTTATCTTTTTCCCTTTAAAACTTGTTCAAACGACATTGTTGATGATGTATTATATGGTAAAAATTACGGCGCTTGAGATTTGAAAATTGCACTCTTTCAAATTGCGATTTCAATATAAATACGCTTAATCTTTCAGCTCTAGTTTACAGCATCCAAGTGTCCTAATATCTATCTGGAATCAGTGAAGTTACACAACACTAGAATAATTTAAGTTTTATTTTAATTAGAACATTATTATAATTTATAATTATAATATAATTATTATTATAATTTTCATTTTGCTATTTTTAATTAATAAATTACAACAAAACATCTGTCCCTGTAACTCTGTTATCAGATGAACAAGGACTCTGTGTGCCAAATGTCATGACTCGGTGTTGAGCTGCTGGTGAGCAATGAGGGGTGAAAGAGGAGGGGTGAGATAACAAGGACAACTGCAGCTTTCTTCATATCAATCATGTACAACTGACACAAATAATAGCATTTAAACATAATAAAAACACCACAAAGATGGAAATACATACATAATAAAAATATATTTCATCAACATACTGAAAAAATGGTTTAAATGCGGGACCTCCTCAAAAAATAAGCGCTAATTGAATTTTATAGCTTCTGTGAAAAAGGGGATAAACTTAATCTACGTAACCACTGAGGCCTCTAATCCAGTTCTCTTCTTCAGCCAATGAAAAAGAGCGAAAAGGGTTGAGATGAGGAAGGGAATATAAGAGGAATGCAAACTGAAACGTATTATTTATAGTCTGTAGAAGCGATGCATGTTAAATTTTCCATGGAGGCCTTGCAGAGTTGCCTTCTCATCGCCATGCTGACCATGCAGGCAGGTCTGCGGACGGCTCGCAATCGAAGCACGGGTCCATGTCAGGGTCAGCAGAGCAAGAAAGTGAAGCACCCCCTCCTCACCGTTACTCCACGCCAGTTGCGGGCAGCCGTGATTAACACAGAAGAGGCTGATGAAGTTGGCCGAGCTGTACGTGATCATTAAGAGGAGAACACCTGGTGCTGTGGACGGGCCGTCTGGGGACCATCCAGTTTCATTAAGCCTTGGAGGAGCTCATGTTTGAAGCCGCTCTCCATGGGAAATGGGGGGGGTGTGCCTGGGATGGTGAATCTGTGCCAGCTCCAAACAAATCCCATGTTATTACCACACAGAGCTTCCCTGATTGACCATGGCCCTCTGAAAACATCCCTGACGAAATTCAAAGCAAGGCTGGCTGCAATTCCCAGCAAGCTTATTGAACCAATGAGTTCTCCTCTTCTCATACACACCTGCTACCTGCCTACGTGTCTTCAGTCAATGTGTACAATGCATCCCTTTCATAATCATATCATAAGCATTACTTTGAACGGAGATTCCACTGATTGATAATACAGAGATGTAAACAGAGAGATTCAGAGTGGTTTGGTGTGAATCGGTTGATTGCAGAGACTTGCAGTGGTGGTGATAGGAACCAGGCGTCGCCTCGTCTACAACACAAATATAGGCATTTTATTTACTATCCAAAAACACCAGTGAACCTACATGTGTCTGAGCTTTTATTTGGAATATTAATTATGGTAAAATCATTTTTTTATGGTAAAAAAAGTCATAAATCTGACAGAAATACGTTTTTTGAGGGGACTATTTTGCCTCACAGCGTCCTGCATGTACCCCTCCGCCATTAATGTGTTTTACAAAAAGACATTTTGGGCCAAAATCACAAACCTATCATGAAACAATAGTCAAAGACATCACACAGCATACTCATAACCATTTCATGCAGCAACGTTTCTGCGATGTCGCTTTCAGAGGCATTAAATTCTTCAGACGTCTGGTTCCTATCACCACCGCTGTGAACAGTTCTGACTGTACTTTCCTCTAGAATAGAACCTTCCACATCAAACCACTCTGAATGACTCTGTTTACATCATCATTGTTTAATTATTTAGAAATTTAGAAAAAATGGTGGAGTTCCCCTGTAAGATGCATATATTCATAAGCACTGGCCTAGTTCATTTCTTTGAACATCTCATTTCTGCATGAGATACAAACAGACCTTTTCCCTTGTGACTTGCTTCCAAAGTATCAAAGCTTTGTGAGCAGAACAGATACTAAACCTAATCCTAGACTTAAATGCACTTTCAGCAGATGATCTCAATGCATGGTAAAATTAATAAAACAGAAAAGCACTATAAAGTAGTCATAAACTTTCCATAACATTTGAATAGAAAGTTTAAATCTGCAGATATCAACCCTCCTAGATCACCCACAGTGTATACACGTCTTATTTATGACTCAATTTACTGAAACAAGTGGAGAAATTGTGTGAAGTGCAGATTCTAAAATATTAATCCACACCACATTTGTGTCTGTAAGAAGAGATATTTTATTATGATTAGAAAGATCTTGTTTTGCAGGACAAAATATCCTTATCCTCAACTACTGCTGCCATGTGTTTGTCATTATTTGGCACTGACACATGTCAGTTAATGCTGAATGTAAATTCACATGCATATGATTCATTAGGTGACTATGTATGTAATTATGTAATTATGTTTAAATAGCATATCAATAGCAATGACTCTAGACTTAGAAACTGTAGGGTACTGATCGTAAGGCTTTATGATACCTACATAAGCATATCATGACAACTGACATAACTCTACATAAATGTTTATAAATGCTTATTCCAGCAGGTGTAATTTGCTAAAAAGATTACATTTGCCGATATTAATTTAGCTAAAGTTAACTAAAGTAGTCTTTATGACAGATGACTATTTGAATAAGCGTATATAAACATTTATGTAGAGTTATGTCAGTTGTCATGACAAGCTTATGTAAATGTCATGTAGCCTTATAAACAGTACCCTACAGTTAAGTGTTACTCACACACACACACACACACACACACACACACACACATACACACAGACATTTTCTAAGCCGCTTGTCCTTCTCGGTCACAAGGGGAGCTGTAGCCTATCCCGGCGGTCACTGGGTGGAAAGCAGGAAACACCCTGGACAAGTTAAGTGTTTCCCAAAAATGTAAATCAAATTTACACAATCTTCTGCTTACCCCAGATGTAGTCAATCAGCAACATTTTGGTCTCCACATTTGTTTCTTTACTCATAAACTGAAGTCATTCTACAGAAACGTCCACATTTCTATCTCTCCATAGGAGTCACTGGTGTTACCAGTTGGTGTTCCACATAATAAAGGAACACCAGAGACATTTTTAAAGAAAAATGCATTTTACAAAATTGGCTGCTGCAGAGCATCAAACCACATGTCGTCAATCATGGAATATCCACTAAAATATGTAATCTAATCCATTTGTATTCTATTTTTTCACAATTACCTCAGAATAAAGTCGGTCACACCAGTGACTTCAGCTAAAAGCTTCATATGAAATCATGAGCTAAATGAGAAAATCTCTGATAACTGAAAGACACAGTGGACTCACCATGAGCTTTTCTTCATAGATCCTCAGAAAACAGGTAAAAGGAAGTCAAGTGATCTGTGTGACTTTTATTTCAAAATAAGAGATTTTTTTGTTACGCGGTAACACCAGTGACAC